TGCCCTTGCTCCAGCCCCGCCCACTCACACCTGATCCTCATGTTTCTCCCTCAGGTGTTCCCTGTTTGTGCTCATTAGTTTCACCTTTATATTCTGTCTCTTGTCTTTACTTCCCTGTCGAGTCATTGTTTGTTTGTCTCTGTTTGGTTCATGTTCTGCCCAGGCTTCCCTGTTCCTGCTTATTTGTAAGATTTCTGTTTTTGCCACCACGCTGGCTTTTAATTTAATAAAAGTTTTTGTTAAATTTTCAAGTCTGCCTGCCTGCCTGCATTTGGGCCCTTCCTGCCACTAAGTCCTAACACCTTCTTTCCAACTTTCGAACCTTCTTTCCAACTTTCGAACCTTCTTTCCAACTTTCGAACCTTCTTTCCAACTTTCGAACCTTCTTTCCAACTTTCGAACCCTTCCTTCATCTTTCCACCTTTCGAACCCTTAAATAAGGAGTTTGCCCAGTTTAAACTGTCTACCTCTTCAGGATATACCCGGATTTCATCTAGGTTAAAGTTCATATTCGAACAGCCTGGCCCAAAGACTTCACTCCCAGAGATCCTGAATTAACAACAGTATGACTTGTGGGATTTTAAGTTGGTTGTTGACTGGGAAAAGTTTCTAGGACTTTGGAAGTAAACTCCAGGGGTATTATTTTAACGTTTACTTACACACTAAGACAACCGGTTAGATTAATTGTAAAAGATTCTAAAAACTCAGAAAATTACCCCTTTAACACCCTTGAGATGGCATAAAATGTGAAAAAAATACCAAAAATTGAATGTCTACTCTGACTCTTAGAATTTTCTTGTTCCTGTATTTTATTAAATGAGTGATGTAGCAAGTACAGCAGGATTTAAAAATCAGTCGCACATCAGAACAGATTAAATGCATTAAACACTTTAACTTTCCCTAAGCAAGTTGCTGTAATGGGCAAAAATGATAAAACAGTAAAGAAATAAAGAAGAAAGAAAACAAAAATTAAATATTTATATAAAAATCATAAAACAATTTTAAAGAAGAGGAAGAGAAAACAATGTTACTTTGGTAGATCACAAAACAAGAGGCTTTCCACCAACAATACCACCTGAATGATCCATCAAGGAATCAATCTCTCTCCAGAGCTTCACTATGAGCAGAGCCTTGACAATGGAACCAGACACAGGTGAGTAGTAGAAAAGCTCCGCCCGCGTCTCTCTGGAGCTGCAGGGTGAAAAACTCAATAGCACAGTGGCTGTTTCAAATTCAGAGGCTGGGTCCTCCGAAGGCTGAATGTGTCGGCCCCTTATGTCACAGCGCCGCACAGTATAAAACATTTTTATTTGCCTAAAATCTTTGTTTTTTTTAATCATAACGCATTAAAGGCAAAATCATATATTTAGTCAATGAAAATGACAAGTATTGGAATCACAATGGTAACACCAGCCCTGTGTTTACTTGGCATCGGGTCCATACAAAAATTCCTTGTATCGCCCATCCCTTGCCTGAAGGCTGCCTAAACGTGTTTTTGGCCTGTTGGAGAAAACAATGCAACGAGAACACACAACCCCAGGTTTGAACCCAGGACCTTCTTGATCTGAGGCAACAAGCCAGCTAACCCATCATGTTGCTGAAGCTCACTTTTAACAGCAGAAAGTAATGATGCATTTAAAGAACCAGAGAGGCTGTGGAGTCCCTGACACAAGTCAGAGAAATGTTTATGTCATGACGTCCACAAAGAAACAAACTGTTGTTTGAATTACAGCAGAGAAAGACACAAACACTAACCGGGAATATGTTTGCTCACTTCGACAGATCCAAGATGACATTTAGCTGAGAGTGCCCTGCTCTGCATGTGGATGATGAAAAAGGGAAGAAGGGCTGATTATCAGCAGAAGAAGGGGCTGTCGCATGACTTGCGACATCCCTCCTCATTCCTCCCCATCCTCAGTTTGTTTGTCTAACATCCCCATTAGTCTGTTAGTTAATATTGTTTCTTTCCTTATTTGATAAACAAGATTTTTTTAATCTAAAACTCCCTGCTGATGTTTAACACTCCATCATAAAGTTCATCTGCTTTTTGAGCTGCTTTAAACTCAATCAGGGTAAATCTGGAATAATAAGTGCTTCTATAAAAACATTTAAGAGTCAGCAGATTAAACTTAACCCTGTGGGAAATATGTTTCCTGCTCTGCATGAAGATATGATTTGTTGATAAAGGTTAATAAAAAAGATCTTGGAATGTGCACTTGCTATCTTAATGCAAAGCTCTCATTACAGCATAATCTTAATTAG